GACACTAAAACTGGGTAAGGACACAACAAACTGTAGACCAATTGTCTTGATGAACAGAGATGTAAAAATATCAATAAACTATTTTCAAACTGACTTCAATAACACATTTTTAAAAACCACACACTATCATCAAATTGGATCTATTCCAGGAATGCAAGGATGTCTCAACTTAGGCAAATCAATAAATGTAACACAGCACATAATAGAATAAGGGATAAAAATCACATAATCCCCTCAGTCAATACAGAAAAAAATCTTTAACAAATTTCAACAAGTCTTCATGGTAAAATGCTGAAAGGCTCATAAACAGCATAGTAAATGATATGTACAACAGATCTGTAGCCAACATGGTATTGAATGGGGAAAAGCTGAAAATACTGTCTCTAATATCAACTATAAGCAAGGCTGTTGAGCATTACCACGTTTATTCAACGTCATACTTGAAATTATACCCAAAGAAATAAGGAAAGGGGGAGCATTCCAAGGGACCCAAACACGGAAGAGAGAAGTCAAATTATCCCTATTTGCACATCATATTCCCTTATTGAAAGGATCCTAAAGACTCCAACAGAAGATTTTTGCATCTAATAAACATTTTCAGCAAAGGAGCGGAACACAAAGTAAACATACAGAAATCACTAGTTTTCTATACACCAAAAGGAAAAGGAAAAAAGGAAGAGAGAGAGAGAGAGAGAGAGAGAGAGAGAGAGAGAGAGAGAAGTTGGGATCCAAGTGTGGTGACATATGCCTAGAGTCTCAGCATGGAGATTGACAGGTGAAGGTGGGAAGGAAGATTAAGAGTTCAGCTACACCCCAAGTTCAGAAGTTCAAGACCACTCTGTGCTACATGAAACTCTGTTTAAGAAAAAAAATAGAAAGAAGAGAGATAAAAAGAAAAGAAAAGAAGAGAGAAACTAGGAAAATAATCCATTCAGAATAGCTTCCCCTTCCCTAAATACTTAGGTATAAACCTAACCAAAGAGCTAAAAAGACCTCTGTAATGAAAGCTATAAAACCCTGAAGAAATAAATTGAAAAAGACATTAGAAGATAGAAATCCTTCTACACACTGGGATTGGCAGAACTAATATTGAGAAATAGCTATATTGGTAAACAGAGCTACAGATTCAATGCAACCCCCATCAAAATCCCAATGACATTTTTCACAGGGAAAAAAAAATACTCCTAAGCCTCATCTAGAAGGACAAAGGTCCTGGTTAGCTAAAGGATGCTTGAACAAGGAAGGAATGCTGTATTCATACTACTCAGACAGTTACAAGATTCCCAAGGCCCTCCCCAAGGTTACATAAGCAGAAATCGATGGTTTTGGAAGAGGAGACTCTTTGGTGGAGCTGCCTATAAGTTGGGCAGGGAACTCGGACAGTTTTCAGGAGTCATCATCCATGTCAGGGTAGGCTTTTCAAGGAGGTGACTAGCTGCCTTTGGGTCACCCATGTGCCTGTAGTCTTGTAACTTTCACAAGTTCTTTACTTCCTATGTTTTCACCAGCTGCCTGTGTCTTAGAAGTATCCTTGTGCATCACTTCTGAGGGTAACAGCTGCACAGCAGTGTGTGGAGATCCAGAACCGGGATAGCTACCTGAATCTTAGGGAAATTCAGGGTTTGGGTGTTTTGTGGAAACTCCAAAACAATTTGAAGGTGATTGCACTAATTTGCCTTCCCACTAACACTCTGTAAGGGTTCCTTTCTCTCCAATTCTCATTATTATTCATGGTTTTTAATTCTGGACAGTCACCACTCTAACTGGGATGAGACAGGATCTCAAGGTAGTTTTGATTTGCATTTCTGTAATGATCAAGGATTCTTCTACACACTTTCTCATGCACTTTTTGGCTATTGAACCTCTTCACTTGAAAAGTAGCTGTCCAGTTCATTGCCCATTCATTGGTTGGTTTGCTAAGTTAGACTTGGACAGAATCTCTCCTTATTCCCTCCCCTCCCCCTCCCCTTCTCTTTCCCTCTCCCCCAAAGTCTTCCATTAGTGCCAAGTTATGGAATCAGACTAATTTCTCACCAATGAATGGATGAGTAAAGAAAACATGGCATATGTATACCCTCCACCTGTTTTCAGGAAAACGGATAGAACCATAAAACCAAAGATCATCATGAAAACTGAAATAAGCCAGAATCAGAACAAGTCTCACATTTTCTGATATGTATCATTAGAGAAGAAAGGAGAGAGAGAGAGAGAGAGAGAGAGAGAGGAGAGAGAGAGAGAGAGAGAGAGAGAGTATTAGGAGACAGACAGGGACCTGTAAGTGGGAGGGTAAATGTGGTTAGTGGGAGTAACTATGATCAAACACATAGCACATATATGTGTGAAAATGTTATAATGAAACCACCATCTTGTACTATTAATATACACTAATAAAAATTGAGGTTCGAAGAGGATAATTTTTCTCTGATGTCACACATCCAGTAAACAGTAGACTTAGAATCTTGTCCAGTAGTTTACTGCCCACAATAGGACCTTATTGTGGACTGCCGCCTTATATGCTACCAACTTAGAGGAGTTTTAATATTTGTCTCAGCAAACAACAACAACTGTTCAGTCTAGCCATCCTTTCCAGAGGTGCAGGGTGATGGTTCCAGGCCTTTCTCATGCCTCCTCATTTCTCAGCTCTTTCAGAGGGAAGAAAATGTTCTAAATGTTAGGGTTCATGGTTCCTAGTTCAAACCCTGAAACTGTTGTAAGACCACAACAGTGACCATGGCACAAAGCCTTCTGAAATCTCTTCCTGAGTGAAACAGACACTCCAGCTCCGTGAGGGTGTAAAGCAAAGCAAGGGGAGAGCTGCATGCTGGCTGGCTGTGTGAGACTGAGGGGATCCTATGCTGCCGGCACAGTCACTTGACAGAGACAATGGCTGTTGGCACAGCACTGGTGGGTGAGGCTTGGGAGAGGCGCCAGCGAAAGCAATCCTTTTTGTACTTCGGGCAGTGCTGTGCTAGGACGGCCGCTGAAGTTCACGGAGGCTGACGCTCTGAAAAGTGCCTCTCACCAACAACACACCCACACAGACAACTCAACAAATTGGAGAATGAATTTTGAGGGAGAGGCGAGGTGGTGTAATGGAAAAGACGTTGAAATAGGAGCGAGAAAACCCTAATTTTAATTCCAATGTTGTGACTCTGATACCTCCTTTAACTTCCATTTTCCTTATTCACTCACTGGCCTTGGCACCCAGCCACCCAGCCCACAAGTTCGTATTGGAAGTCAGCTTGTGTTAAAGGCCTTGGACCAGATGATGTGGGCATCCCATGATTCTCATCTATGTGTATTAGGGATAATAATAGTCCCATATACCTCAAATTGATGTAATGAGGATGAAAATCCAGTTTCTACTTGGAAGAAATGGAAACACTTACACTTGTTTTGCTTACTTCATGAACGTATCATGAGAATCATATGAGATGAATGTTATGAACTCAAAATAGAATATGAGTATGTGGAAAAATAGATATTCTGACCAAGAAGAAAGATATCACTGTTGGATATTACTTAGGGAAAGGGGTGTGTGTGTGTGTGTGTGTGTGTGTGTGTGTGTGTGTGTGTGGAGAGATAGAGACAGGCAGACAGACAGAAAGAGAGACAGAGTCAGACAGAGAGAGAGAACATCTAGGCACTAAAGAAATATTGGGTCACTTTTTTCTCCTCTTGTCTGTTTTAGCAAAATCAAGAGTCCTAAAGCTAAAAATAGAAGATTAAATAAACATTGTTGGAGCTTTTGAGAGAATTGAAGATAGTAACTCAGCTTGTTGCTTCAAGCTAAGCTCCTGATTTCTGGTAGTTTTAGGTGTTAGGATTCTGAAATTCCTGACAGTCCTGGGGAAGTGTTATTCCTACCAGAAGAATTGGGACTGAGTTATGCTGCACCTTGAAAGAAAATAAAAACTATAAGTCCCTGGACTTAGAAGCAAGAAATTTGCATTTGAGATTTGTTTGTTTTTTTCAGATAGAAAGAGCCTGGAGAGAGACAATCTCACATCAGCCGCTCCTGGGCTGTCCTCTGAGACCGGGGTCACACCCCACCCATTATCTCACCACAGCTTGACACTGTGCCCAGCTGAAAACTGGAACTCTGTTAGAGACGAGGAAGAAAATAGATGTGAAGGCAGCTGGGAGTCCAGTCCTTCCACAACGTTCAGGAAAACAAAAAAGTTAAGTACAGACAGAATCTCCTCAGGCAAAATGATCTTGTTTTTCTTTTGAAGATTTTTAGCTATTCCTTTGATTTTTTAAGAATCTTGTGATAGGAAGAAGCAAAGTGCTAGAGAGGCCCACAGAAATCCACAAAGATACCCCACAATAGACTGCTGGCAATGGTCAAGAGACAGCCCGAACTGACCTACTCTGGTGATGGGATGGCCAAACACCCTAATTGTCGTGCTAGAAACCCCATCCAATGACTGAGGGAACTGGATGCAGAGATCCACGGCTAGGCCCCGGGTGGAGCTCCGGGAGTCCAATTAGCGAGAAAGAGGAGGGTTTATATGAGTGAGAATTGTTAAGACCAAGGTTGGATAAAGCACAGGGACAAATAGCCAAACGAATGGAAACACATGAACTATGAACCAATGGCTGAGGGGCCCCCAACTGGATCAGGCCCTCTGAATGGGTGAGACAGTTGATTGGCTTGATCTGTTTGGGAGGCATCCAGGCAGTGGGACCAGGTCCTGTGCTCATTGCATGAGTTGGCTGTTTGAAATCTGGGGCTTATGCAGGGACACTTGGCTCAGCCTGGGAGGAGGGGACTGGACCTGCCTGGACTGAGTCTACCAGGTTGATCTCAATCCTTGGGGAGGCTTTGCCCTGGAGGAAGTCGGAATGGGGGGTGGGCTGGGGGGAAGCGGAGGGGGATGGGGGGGGAACAAGGGAATCCGTGGCTGATATGTAGAACTAAATTATATTGTAAAATAAAATAAAATAAAAAAAATCTATTGAAAAAAAAAAAAAGAATCTTGTGAAGCAAAGTGTGGTGGTATACATCTTTAATCCCAGATAGAGGCAGGCAGATCTCTGTGAGTTCCAGGCCAGCCTGGTCTACAGAGTGAGTTCCAGGACAGATGGGGATTCTGTCTAAAAAAAAAAAAAGCAAATAAACAAACAAAAAAGAAGCTTGTGAGTTGGGGGTCACTTCTCTGTGATATACTTAAGAGGAAAAAAATGTTATCTGTTTTTACCAGCTTAATATCTGATATGTCCTCTATCCAAGGATAGTATATTAAATAGATTCTTTGGAAACAGGAGGTGGAATAGGAACTTGCTTTGTCTGCTCCATGAATCAACCTGCTCTTGCAGTACCTCCAGGAACAGAGCACCCTTCCTCAGAGGGAATGTGTATTGTTTGAATTGATTCATAAGCTGGGGTGTGGTTCCACGGTGGGGTACTTGCCAAGCATGCGCTCAGCCCTGGGTTCAATTCCAAGCACTGAACAAAAATAAAAATCATTTTTATAATATATTTATAAGAGTATCTGATTTAGTAAAAAGTTATCTGCCAGGTGAGTTTTTGTTTAATATTTTAAGTATTTATGTCAGTTTATTCTCTAAAATGTAACATGATGTAACAAGTATCTTATGTATATATGCCCAAACCCCTTTAGTTTAAATCAAATTAAATTATAGCCATCTAGACATTCTGGTTCCACATGGAACTAAGCTGTCAGCTGCCCATCCCTCAATGGTCTTGTGCCAGAAGGCATTTTGACATGAACAACAGCATAAAAATATTAAAACATTTCTGGATTTTCTTCAAAAAATAAGAATGTCCTTCCATGGTTGCCACACAATGTGCGTTCCAATTTGTCACTTCCGTGGCACTGTGCACTGAGCGGACTCTCCTTGGTACTGTACGTGGATCTTATCCGTGAGTATTTGTCAGCCTTTCCATGCATTTGGAATCTGTGTCTTCAGACCCTGTCGCTCTGAGCAGCTGTTCCCGAGGGATATGACTGAGCAGTGATGTCACACAGAGCTGAGGAGCATCCAAGTCTGTCCTGGGTAAAATAAGATGTGGAGAAATTTAAAATATGTAATGTGGCCGGGCGGTGGTGGCGCACGCCTTTAATCCCAGCACTCGGGAGGCAGAGCCAGGCGGATCTCTGTGAGTTCGAGGCCAGCCTGGGCTACCAAGTGAGTTCCAGGAAAGGCGCAAAGCTACACAGAGAAACCCTGTCTCGAAAAACCAAAAAAAAAAAAAATAAAATAAAATAAAATAAAATATGTAATGTGACCTTAAATCCATTGCTTGTGTTGGGTTTTTTGTTTTGTTTTGTTTTTTTGTTTTTTGTTTTTGTTGTTGTTGTTGTTCAACTGGACACCATCTAGAGTCATCTGGAAAAAAGGAAAAATGCAAATGATGAGAAGTCTGTGGGGCCTTTTCTTGATTCGTGATTGATGTGGGAGGCCCCAGAACTCTATGGGCAGTGCCACCCTGGGTAGGTGGTCCTCAGTTGTGTAAGAAAACAATCTGAGGAGTCTTGGGGAGCACGCCAGGAAACGGTGTTCTCCCATGGTCTCTGCTTCCATTCCCGCCTCCAGATCCCTGTCCTGAGATCTCTCAATGATGGACTGCGACATGGAAGAGTCAGCTAAATCAACTCTTTCTTCCCCAAGCTGCTTTTGGCCATGGTATTTATCTCAGCGATAGAAAGCAAACCAAGACATCACTTAACCACATCCAGTTGTTAATTAAGAACAGCAGTAATAGTTGCGTTTGATTATTGGTAAGGTAGCCTGCCCCCAGATACTACTATACTCTTAAATAACAGCTTAGTGGTCGCCCCTCATCTGGTCCAAGGATTCCGTTACTGACTTTCTGAGATGTTTAGTAAAGCTGTTCCTTAGGGGTTATCTGTTTATTCCTCTAATGAAGGACTCTTCTCTGTACTGACCCACTTCACTCAGTGTTCTTCCATCCTAGGAGTTCTTAGCCTAGAGGGGACCGTCTATGCTCTGGGGTTGCTCTTCAATTCTGAGCATGCAAATGCTATGTCCCCCTGCAAAGGTGGGCAAGGGAAAGTGACAGCCATCCTGCCAAGTGGAGCAGATGTAAATAGAAAAGAGACAGAAGTGTGTTCAGGAGGATGTTGTCCGTCCATCTAACAGCTCTATAGAGATTCTTAGGCAAGATGGAGTGGTGGGCTTAGAGCATAGGCCGGAGGAAGATTGCTAAAGTCATTTCTTAGAACTGTTTAGCCTTAGCCCTTTAACCCTGGGATTCAATTGTATTTCCCATAAAGTACCACGAACAAACACACTCAATATTACCTGTAACCGTTAGCCAGCACCATGCTGAGACATGGACAACAGTATCCTCTCACATTTGAATGGCTTCTCTTTAAAGCAATGTTTGATCTGATACAAAATACAATAGACTATTCCTGGCATGACCACAACGTTGCTCAGCCTCTTTCTGGAGCATTTCAACAGAAAAATGGAGACTTGGCTACCCACTAGCCCCCCCCTCCCCCCCGCGTGCATGCGGCTCACAGTGATTCTGAGCCTCGCAGCTTTCACTTTGTCCTTGCCGGTGTTTCCGACGGGCCGTGGCTTTGATGCTCTGCTCTTCCCGGTTTGCGGTTGCGCTGTCATCAGCGGTCCGTTTCCTGTTTTGTCATGTCCAGCTGCTTGTCTGGCACCTCAACTCCTTCCTCTTCCTCTGCAGAGGATGTCGACATTTCCAGTACAGACGGGCAATGCCACCGACTCCTCTGGCTGCAGCTTTTCCTTTTTTAAACCTCCTTTGAAGCTTCATGAGTTTCCTGTAATGACTATGTCTCTGTTTTGGCTATTTTAGTATGTATGTGGCTTTTGATTTTGATCTGGATTCGCATCTTGTAGCCAAAAACCATCTCAAACAAGTAGTTTGGGGTTTTGCTGGAAGGTAATTTGAATTTGTTTACAAGATTACCAACTCCCAATTTAGATGTCCTAAGATTTCTGAAGGGGAGTGGCCTTCCCAGATTGTCTTGCTCTTATTATTACTAAGCTGTGTTATTAGGCAGGAATGGGCTGTTTTGTTTGTGAGCTGATCCTGCTTCTTATAACTTTAAATACTTACTACTGAATTGGGAGAAGTAGGAAAGCCATTTGAGCAGAGCTGAAGAATTAAAGTCAACCTCAAACACAGACACAGATACAGCCTCATGACGTGATAGAGCTATGTCAATCAGAACAGTCACACACACACACACACACACACACACACACACACACACACACACACCACATAAAGCACATGACTATTTCATCATAGTCATCTGACATCTTTCTTGCAAGAAGTCACAAACACAAAATAGATATGAACAAAAATAACTCAGTTGTCATAACAGATGAGGAATGATCTCTATCTTCCCATTCTGCTCCTCCCCCTGCCTCTCCTTCCCCTTCTCTCTCTCTCTCTCTCTCTCTTGTTCTCGAGCACTCTCTCTCTCCCTTCTTGTCCTTCTTTTCTGTCATCATTGTTCATATGAAAAGCAGAAAAAACTCCCAATTATTTCTCTGACTGCTCTCAATAATCGGGCCCAGCAGTGTTTGTTCGACAAATCTTCCCCGAGCAACTTCGTGCTCCAGGTTCTCACAAAGGAGGCCAGACAGGTCTCTGCCACCCAGAACTGTCTATTTGGGTGGTGGTCATTTTTTCTTTACCATTGGGTGCTGGAAATTTCCGTTTCTTTTCCGGAAAACTCAACATGTTTCAAGATTCCATGAGGGAGATGGGGAGGCGGGAGAAGGCTGGGCTTAGCCTGTGCCCCATCTCGAGGTTTCCTAAGAAGCCAGATGCAGTACAGAGCCACTTCCTTCCTGTTTCTGCTGCTCAGAACTCACAGCCAAACCCTAGGACCTAGGAAGTCTGTCATCTTCCCACCATGTGGAGACTTTCACTTCGGTTCTTCTTTTCATGAGATGAGAAGGCTCCTCTTCCCAGACCATGTTTCTCCCTGCCACCCTGTGGTCTACAAGCCTACTTCCAACTCTCTTCTTGCTCTGGTTTTCTCCTCAGAAAGACTTTTATTGGCTCTGCAGGGTCACTATTTAGACTGCCTGGAAACCCACCGTTTAAAAGCCGCCATAAAAGGCTGGGAACATGACTGGGGAACATGTACTTCCATACAAGTGTGAGGACTGAAGTACGCATCCCCAGCAGCCATGTGAAAAACCCAGACAAAGCAGCATACACCCAGGGCTGGGGAGGCTGAGACAGAAAGATCCCTGAGGCTTCCTAGACAGCTAGTCTAGCTGAATTAGTGAGCTCCAGGTTCGGTGAGAAGCCCTGCCTTAAGAAATAAGGTGAAGCTGGGCAGTGGTGGTGTATGCCTTTAATCCCAGCACCCAGGAAGCAGAGGAAGGTGGATCTCTGTGAGTTCAAGACCAGCCTGGTCTACAGAGTGAGTTCTAGGACATCCAAATCTACATAGAGAAACCCTGTCTCAAAAAATAAAAAGAAAAAAAGAAAAGAAAGAAAGAAATAAGTTGGAAAAATGATTGATGATTGAGAAAGATATCCAATATTTAAACTCTGGACTCCATGCATGCAAACACATACATACACATGTGCCTGAACACACACACACACACACACACACACACACACACACACACACACACATCCCAGACTCATGCACACAGAGCCAACATGAAGCTCGTAATGGAATCTGTATTTTAGTCTTTTCCATTCTTTTGATTTACATAAGATATTCATTGAAAAGCTACATCTTCCATTCATTCATTTTTGTGTGGTTATGTTTTGGATACAACATACACACATAAAGCACTTTCTAAGTCTGTACAACACCACCGCCAGGTAGATAATTGTATTTCTAAAGAAGTGTTTTCTAAGCTGGGCAGTGGTGGCGCACGCCTTTAATCCCAGCACTCGGGAGGCAGAGGCAGGTGGATCTCTGTGTGTTCGAGGCCCTCCTGGTCTACAGAACGAGATCCAGGAAAGATGCAAAGCTACACAGAGACACCCTGTCTTGAAAAACCAAAACAAACAAACAAACAAAAGAAGTGTTTTCTTTGTCGTTCTTGTTTTCAGCAAACAGAAATGAGGAAAGTAAAGAGTGTGTGGCTGTAGAATGAATTCTTGGAACACTTGTCATTTTACAAAGCTCTGCCTCTGTGGCTCTTCACTTTTCCTAAGATGCCTTCACCTAAGAGTAGCTGAGGCCAAGCAGAACCCTTCTTGTAAACAAGGGACAGGAGACATGATAGCCCGTAATGGGGACAATCTGGGCTGTTCTGGCATTTTGTGTGGATAAAATAATCCAAAGCTAATTTGAGCACAACAGAAATGAATAAAGCTTCTTGCCACTGAAAGAACTCAGAAAACGTCAGGGTCAGGCAGAGTCCTTCTGTACAGTGGGCTCTGTCCTGTGCCAGGCTCCTCTCGGAGAACAGCAGCGGATTCACTGCCTGGGTTCGAGTCCTGCCTGTACTACTTATTTGCTGCATGCTTTCTCAACAGCCACACGAGCTGAATAACAGCATTTACCTCATAGAATTAATGCCCTGCCAAGGAGACTTTGAAATTTTAAATTATTCTCAAATCTCTGTATCAAAATGATTATTTAGTCACATATATCCATGCCCATCTGATCTAAAAATGTACTCACAACCAATCAGCTTCTGATCAAACCTAAAGCCCAGTCCATGAGATGGAACCCATTCCTGGCACTATTTACAGGGCCAAGAGCTGTGGCTAAGTAGGTCATGGGCCTTATGGGAGAACCTACTACTATTATCCTGTTAAATGGGCTGGGTATTAAAATGACTTTCTGCTGTGCCCACAGATCAGTGCATCCCTCAACTCTCATCAGAGAAGCTTCTTCTTGCAGTCAATGGCAGTTGACAGAGACCTTCAACAGGTCAATATGAAGAGTGAGAGACTGGAGTGCTCAGCCCTAAATGGGAGGTCTGTATCATACCCCTCCCCACAAGGTTCAGGGACGGACACTAATGATGGCGTGGAAGGATCGTGAGAGCCAGAGGTGGAGGATGACTTCAGAAACAGTAGTTTCCAGACACAACAGGGCAGTTATGGAACTTGACAGCCTGCGCAAGGTTTGCACAAGCTCCAACCAGACTCAATCCCACCACTAGCTGAAGAGCTATTAGCTTCTGGGAGAGGGAGAGTGAACTTTCTTTGGTGAAGTGACTCCAGGTAGGTGAACCCCACTCCAGGGCAGGCCTCTCTCCCAAGATAGTTGAGCAACATAAACTGGACTCAGTGTGGACAAGGATGGGTAGAAAACCCAAAAGTTGAGTGGGTAGGGAGGCTAGGGTAGAGAGGATGGATATGGGAAAAGCTGGGGGAGCAATATAACAAAAATATATGGTATAAAGTTCTCAAAGAATTTAAAAAAATACTATTTTAAAAATAATAATGTACTCATCCTGTCAATATTTTGCAAAGTATAAAATAGAAGCTGAGAGAACACAGAGATTTATTCAAGGTGAACGACAGGAATAAGTCTTCAAAGTAAGATAATGTCAGTAAGGCATTTAAAGGAACAGCCCTAACCTTTGACCTGGTTGATTATTTGTCTTTCCAGATGAAAAATACTTTCTGAATTCTGTCCAGTTCCTTAACATGTGGGGTAGGCAACTGTTAAAAATAAAAGAAATGACAATGTGCTTTTGTTCATCATGGGCTCATGGGGAAAGTCATATAATGTCCTCAGATGGTTGCTATGGAGGCAGCCAGAAATGAGCTCTGGTAATGAATTTGGGCTGACATTGTTGTGGGATTATGACAGCAGCAATTAGTAGACAACAGGGTGCTGGATTTGTGTACCAAAGAAAAGTTAGAAAGACCACAACACGATTTACCACTCTAAAATCACAAGGGCCCACAGGAGAAGTATGACTTTCAACCCTCAGCAAGTATTTCCTAACATCAGCTGAAGGAGCTACATGCCCTGTTTTCCCATGCTCCTTATCTTCCTCAAAGATCCCAGGGAGAGCAATTTACCTGCACATTGTAGCCAGGGCACAAGGGAAGGTAACTGTTTTGGAAAGTAACTGAGTTTTGGAGCACCTTTGAAAATTTGTGTTCCACCCTTGTGGAGGTATCTGGTCATCATTATAGAACTTCTACCAATTATCAGAGCAGGTGGACAGGGTTAAAGAACTAGCCACCGAAGTTTTGTTTAAAAGGACAATGATTGTCTGCTCTCTTCTGTACTCTGGACAGGATTTTCCCCCATTTGCAGCTTCCTGCTCAGGATTAGTCTAAGTACGGAGGAAAGCTATCACTCAATTCTGTAACAACAAAGTGCAAGCTAAGGCTTTTCTACGCTTTGTTTAATTTTCCTGAAATGCCTCCTTTTCCAGAAATGATTTATCGGTGGCCCAGCCTGTTTTTCATCTTACTCAACACTCCCCTAGGGACATAGTTAAAAACACAACTTAACTATAATTCTCCTGAGCAGGGAAGTGGTCTGCCGTGGTAATGAAACCAAAGCACGGATTTGAGCAACTGTGGGCTGTTGACTTTATGCTAGCCTTTCATAAAGGGAACTTTCAAAACGGCATGGCCATTCCGCAAACAGTGTGCATTTCATGGAAGCCTGGCTGGCTTCACGCTTGCTGTTCCTCAGACCACAATGATCCTAGCCAGCAATGTCTTTGTGTCATGATGCAGAAAGTTGGCAAGTACACCCAGGCATAGTGCTGAAGGGCAACTTCCAAGTGGAGGAAGGGATCGGAGAGAGAATCAAAGCCCTGCATGATGGTGACTGCTCCTCTCCGACATGGGCTTGTTACAACACAGGTCACTCGCTGCTGTTGTCTCTCTGGTAGTGAATACAGCCTATTACTTTCAGGAAAAGTTGAAATTTCTTTTGGTGGTAAAGTGCACCAAAAATAGAAGCCTGTGTGCTTGCCTTCTTTGCTGTGTTTTAAGGACTTCCAGAGGCATTCTCCTACAATTAGGGAAATGACCAATGTTTCCAAAGGTGAGACTGTTTTCATGATGAAAAAGTTCAATGTCAAATCCACTAGGAGGATATGGTACTCAAGATTTTACAAGTTTTAAATACAGTGAATGCTGTTGATTGCTTATTGCACAAAGTGTCTTCCTTCTTTCTTTTTTTTTCCCCCTTTCCTCCCACCTAGGCATGAGCCCAAGAATGGCTGATTACACTTCCAAGGAATAGCCTGATTAGTCTGTGTAATGCCATCCCCTGTCAGTAATAGATTCAAGAATGGCCATGTGGTTCAACGTGTGTGTGTGTGTGTGTGTGTGTGTGTGTGTGTGTGTGTGTGTGTGTGTGTGTGTGTTTACTGGAAGATACTACCATTTCTCCCTTGCCTGCAGAAAGATCATGGGAATCCCTATTCTGTTTTGAAAGTTCTTGAGTGGGGATAAAGAAGTGTATATTCCTAACTGATCTTATAGTTGATCCATGTCCACAAGACCTCTAGTAATTACCCGATGTCCACAGGGCAAACACCTGTACTCCGGCCCATACAAGCTCAGAGGCTGAGGCAAAAGGATCACAGAAGCCCAGGAGTTCCTCTTTGGCCCCCAAATAAAACACTTAAAATAACATTGTGCTTTCATTAAAATGTCATACTCGGTAGCTTTCAGAACTTTTTATGATGATAACTACATCTATATCACACTCAGTAATGAGCTGTAGAAATGGTCCCTGAAAATATAGTATTTCACTCAGTGTGTGCATAATAGACATAAACACTCAAAATATTCAGGGAACATACCTGTCCTGCTTGTGATGCATCCTGCCATTTTCTCTTTCGTTCTTTAAAAACTGTTTATCTATTTAAAAAACTTACTGGGATCACCAAAAAGTAATTCCTTACCCCCAGTACCTCTGATAGGAATATGACAAGCTTATGGGTCTTGTGAAACTGTGTAAAAGGCACCAACAAAGACCGGGAGGGCTTCTGTCCGTGAGAGGTGTATCTTTTTCCTGAAAAAGAAGAAGCAAAAGAAGAAGTGAGAATATTTGAATGTGAACAAAGCCCTTGTTGCAAGTGGGAGCACATAGTAATTTTTAAAAGATTTGTGTGTGTGTGTGTGTGTGTTTTACATGGGTGCTAGGATCTGAACTCAGATCCTCATGACTGAGCAATAATACCCTTAACCACTAAGACACCTCTCCAGCCCCACAATAAGTGTTTTAAAGAAGTAGCATTTTAATTTTAGGCAACTGGAGGCTCACACACAGTTGTAAGAAGTACCACAGCCATTTTAGGTCTTCATGAAGACAAATGTGCCTGGGGAACACCGTTATAACTTTTAAAGATAAGAATGTTTCAGAGTCTATTTACTGACTGCACTTCCATGTTGAACTTTTGAGGCCACTGAATACCTGCACAGTAACCAGTTAGTAATGACGCTGCTTCCTTGAGGGCTAGAAATAGATTATCTGTAAGCACCACTTTTATACTCTTGGACTGTGGTCAAATGTGCTGGCTTTCTTGTTGATAAGCAGTCATTATCGGCCATAACCATTCTTACAGCCTGCATGCACAAAGTCCACGTGTAAATTCTGTAGATTGTTTAAGGATCCTATGACATATGGCGTACTCCCCATATAAGCTGTGAAGTACGTATCACTATTTTGCATTTTTTAAAACATGAAACTCTCCCTTATCAAAGAAATCACTCAAAAAGTTTAAGCCCAAAATGAATTTTTAAACTTCTATGGATGATGACAAGACTAAGAGTTTTCTTTCCACAGGTCTGATGCACACGTGTGCATGCATATACATGTACACATACAGGAATTTGGCATAGTACTTTACAGTTTGCAGAAGCTTTTCTAGAAGTCTTCAAACAATCTAAGCTACCAATAGAATTTACATAGGCAGGATCTGTGTGATACAGGCTGATATTTAACCTAATTTCAACACATTGCTAGCTAATGATTATTCACAAGTCCTTTTTCCCTTGTAGGATATACATATTAGAGAACAGACTTTCTTCTCTTCCCCTCCTCTCTCTATACCTCCTTCCTCTTTTCCTTCCTCCCTCCCTCCCTCCCTCCCTTCCTTCCTTCCTCCTTCCCTCCCTCTCTCCCTCCCTCCCTCCTTCCTTCCTTCCTTCCTTTCATTATTTCTTGAGATAGGGTCTCACTGTGTAGCCCTAGCTGGCCTGGCACTCACAGAGAGCTGCTCGCCTCTCCCTCCTGAGTGCTGGGATTAAAAATGTGTGCCACCATGGCTCACTAAAGTTTTTATCTACATATAGTTATACTTGTAATGTGATATAGCCTGAATTATCAGCAACTATGCTAAGCCATGGACTATAACCTTCAATTAAGTCTGTTAAGACCAAGAGATTGTAAATGTGGTTTTACATTTACTAGCAGTATGGATTTGGGCCAGCTGTTTAGCTTTCTAAGATCTAACTTCCTCACCTATAAAATGAGGACGGTAGTCACCTGACTAGGGTACTATAATGCTGAGTTTATTTCTTTTCATTAAATTTAATTTCATGATTCACTAAATGAACTATGACCACTGAAAACACAGCCTATCGCCAAAATTCTGATACTGAGAGCCCTGGGCCAGCCATAGTGGAATTCTGATACTGAGAACCCTGGGCCAGTCATAGTGGAATTCTGATACTGAGAACCCTGGGCCAGCCATAGTGGCTCACACCTATAATTTCAAACTCTGGGAGACAAAGCAGAGGAGTCTGAGTCTGAAGCCAGCCTGGGCTCATAGTATAGCTTAGGCTCTACGGGAAGACCATGTCTTAAGAAACATTTTTTAAAAACTAAGACGCATAGGCAGGCTGAGGGTGTAGCACAGTGGACAAAGCCCTTGTTGCAAGTGGGAGCAGATAGAATCCAGGCAGGGACACTTGGGGCCAGCTGGCTGGTTGAACTTGCTGGAATTGGCAAGCCTTAGGTTCAGGGAGAGCTTACCTCACTGAAATACAGTGAAGAGCAATCCAGGAAGACTCCCAATGTCAACACCAAACCTCTACAAGCACACACACACACACACACACACACACACACACACACACACACACACCCGTGCCCATCTGTATGTGAGCACACATATACACACACCACACACACACATACACACATGCACACACTCCCACACTCTCACACATGTCCATATATATGTGAGCACACATATACACACAGGCATGTACCACATACACATATACATGCAAACATTACGAAAGGAATCATAGACATGTGACCTGTGATAAGCATGGGTTTGTTACAGTAACGATACCTCCCATCGGCCCAGTCAGTACTCACTGAGGAAGATCATGATGTGCTTGTCACAGCTCCCTCACTGTGAGTAACGCTTTCTCTTTTCCTGGCTTCTCACCATTGCTTCCAGAACCCACATGTCCACCCAGAGATGTAGGTCATAGGCCATGAGACATAAGATATGGAATAATACGGTGAAGGAAACACATTTTAATCCTCGCGCGCGCGCGCGCGCGTGTGTGTGTGTGTGTGTGTGTGTGTGTGTGTGTGTGTGTGTGTAGGTGAGGGCTCTTGTTTCTGTCCTGTAAAGAAACTTCCTTTAAAATAAACACACTGAAAAATAATGAGAGGAAACTTCACAAAATCAGAAGAGGATGTCAGGAAGCATGGGACATGAGGTTGTTTTCATTTCCTCCAGTGTTTGCCTAATTAGTCATACGTATTTATAACTTCAGTGATTTCTGATTAATCATATGTATTTATAACTCACTTTAAGGGGCATACAATTTCACTGTTCCTTTTTCCTTAAAACCCAGTTTGTGAAATGAAAAAAAGTGTTCTCAAGGAATGGAATCAATTTAATGCTTTCCATTTTTTTCCCAGCAGCATTGAAGAGGTCTGATACCACATTCCTGTGATCTGAAGGGGATGCTCACCATGTTTCCTTCCCTTCCTTCCTCCATAGAATCTAAGGTGCTCTCAGCCATCCCACGCTCATTTAAAGGGGCATCAAACTAATGCACCTTACAGAAGCAACAGGAACAGTTGGTTTTTTCCCCTTAAATTCTGATGGTTGCTTCTTTTCTGGAAGAAGGACTTGAAACACAGAAACAAATCAAATTAAGGCTCAAGACAGAAATGCACTCCCTCTCTTTAAGGATTGAGGCTGTAACAATTACCAGTACTGCCCAATGTCTTAATGCATCCTTGTGAAAGCAGGACCTTCAGAGAGTTATAACGTGCACAGGCACACATACGTACAGCCTGAAGCTTTTCCTGCCTCCATGAGATGGGGATCTGTAGCCCCCTAGCAGCTGCAGTTTCCCTCCTAGGTTGAAGCAGTTCATCTGCAAACGAACTTCTAGAATTCCCGTTTGGCTAAAAGCCAGAATAAATGTGAAATTGTTCTTCAGTCCCCTGGTTGAGGGGCGGCTCCTTTACTACCACCTTTGACTGAACTTACATCTTTGCCTCAAAGAAGAATGTGCAGCCCATCTTTCCTAAGTTTATGATCGGAATCAGACAGCTAAAAGATCACAATTTAGCTCCATCTACGAGCCTCCATTCAAGGGCCAGGAAGTGGCTTCCTATAAAAAGCAGCCCCCCTTTACTTCTCAGTGAAAGCCTTAGGAAGGCATTTATGGCAGACACATGCTGTTTTCATCTGTCCAGCGTCCCTTCCTTTGGAAAAACCACTACTTCCTTTTCTGCCAATCACCACTACTCCAGCCACGCTGGTAGCATGCACATAGGTCTGGCCAAGCCTCAAACTCTTCTTTATATTACAGGACTGGTGTGGAGAGGGACTTTCTCTGGGGACACTCAAGTGGGGCACATGTCAGAGCAAACAGCTGCCATTGTCACACACGGGGCATCTGAGGACTGGCGACTCAGCTATGGAAAGCCAAGGAGGACAAAGGAGGGGGAGGCGGAAGTGGGGAGCGAGAAGAAGGGGAGGAAGACAGGAAGGAGGAGTGGGGGGGATAGCACCATCGAGGAAGAGAAGCAGGAGCAGCAGCAAGAGGAAGGGGAATTTAATCTCACCTCAACGGAGCCATGATTGAAGACAGCTGACTTCTGAGCTTCCAAGAGTCTTGTGTCAAGGGCCCAAATTACAACAATTCAGTTTAGTGACCTCAGTTGGCGGTCTCTATTTCCAGTTTTAGAACTGGGCGACACTTCATTCCGTCAGATAGAATGAGTGTTCCCAGGGGCTGAGCAGAAGAGGTCGGCGGTTTTGTAGACAAAGGAAAGTTAAAGCAGAAGCAAAGAGACAGAGGGAGAACTAATTTCAGTATTTTGAGGGAGACAAAAGGCAAGAGCGGCTTAGCTGACGTGCTGCTACTTCAGGTTACGTTCTTCGTTCTTCGGGGACAAGGAAGGCGAGAGACCTCGTCACCCTATTGACCGACATCGGCCTATCTGGGAAATTTGGCTGGTTCCTCAGTTCTGTCGTTATGGCTCAGAAGGCCAGACAGGTGGCTTCATTTCAGCTGGATAACGAGAACGTTTAGTGTTAGGCACTCCCCTTTTCTTTTTGAACAGGGTCTATCAGCGCTGGTTGGAGGAGCTCGGCATGAAACAAAAGCCTCTTGTCACTATGTAACACTGGAGCCACACAGTTTGGGGTTTGTTGTTGTTTTGGGTTTTTGTTTGTTTGTTTGTTTGAGATATGGAAGCCAGAGAAGCCTACCAGGCAAAGTAGTTGGTCATTTAACAGTAGTGTTCCTTCATTTAACCAATATTTACCGAACGCTCTCATGGTTTGAATGTGTGACGTCTCCACAGTTGCCCATGTTGATTGCTTGGTCTCCAGATGGTGATGTTATTTTGGCAAGTGGTGGGAAATTGAGGAACTGATGCCCGCCTGGAGGAAGCAGGTCACTAGGGGCAAGCCCTTCCTGGCATCCTGTCCCAGACCCCTCCTACACGCCGTGAAGCAAACAGCGCAAACAGCCTCCTCCACATGTGCTTGCCATCATGGTGGAACCAAATAATGGCCCTAAAAC